CACAGGTAAATATCTTTCTGATACTCTCTGCTTTCAGCCAAGATCCATTTAACTGTCATCAGAACGTTGTTCCTCATCCTTGTCTGAATTCAGCTTCAGCCTTTGGCAGTTTCCTGTCAATGTACAGTTGCAGCTGTTTTTTTGAATTATCTTTCACCAAATTTTACTTGCCTGGGATATTAGTGATTTTGATGGATGGTTTCTGCATTCTGTTGGGTCACCTCTCTTTGGAATAGGCACAAATATGGATCTCTTCCAATCAGTTGGCCAGGTAACTGTGTTTTAAATTTCTTGGCATAGATGAATGAGTGCCTCCAGTGCTTCGTCAGTTTGTTGAAAGATTTCAATTTGTAGTTCATCAATTCCTGAAGCCTTGTTCTTTGCCAATGCCTTCAGTGCACCTTGGACTTCTTCCTTCAGTATCATTGGCTTGATCATATGCTACCTCATGAAATGGTTGAACATAGACCATTTCTTTTTGGTGCAGTGACTCTGTGTATTCCTTCCATCTTCTTTTAATGCTTACTGCATCATTAATATTTTACCCTTAGAATTCTTCAATATTCAAGTCAAAGCTTGGATTTTTTCCTTCAGTTCTTTCAGTTTGAGAAATGCTGGGTGTGTTCCTAGCTTTTGGTGTTCTAACTCCAGGTTTTTGCACATTTTGTTATAATATTTGATTCTGTCTTCTTGAGATACCCTTTGATATTATCTGTTCAGGTCTTTTACCTCCTCATTTCTTCCATTTGCTTTAGCATCTCTATTCTGGAGAGCAAGTTTCAGAGTCTCTTCTGACATCCCATTTGGTCTTTTCCTTCTTTCTTGTCTTTGCTTTCTTCCTGTATAATTGATCTTGATGCCATCCCACAACTCTTGTGGTCTTCAGTCATTAGTATTTAATTCATCAAATCTGTTCTTGAGATGATCTCTAAATTCAGGTGGCATATGTTCAGTCACTCATATTTTGTTTCTCATGGTGGTGGTGGTATGCTTTCTGACCCACAGTGCCCCTGTATAGGATTTCTGATGCTGTAAATCTTTATAGGAGCAGAAAGCCTCATCTTTCTCCCATGGAACAGCTGGTAGTTTTGAACTGCCGACCTTGAGGTCAGCAGCCCATCTCGTAACCACTACACTACCAGAGCTCCTTTATTTAGCCTCAGCCTAAATTTGCATATATACTTTTACATTTTCTAGTAGGTATGTTGGAGGCCAAGATGGCCAAACTTCGTCTCTCATACTTCGGACATATTGTCAGGAGGGACCAGTCGCTTGAGAAGGATATCATGTTTGGTAAGGTGGAGGGTCAGAGAAAAAGAGGAAGACCCTCAATGAGATGGATTGGCCAGCAGCATCAGTGGACTCAAGCATGGCAACAGTAGTGAGGTTGGCCCAGAATCGGGCAGTGTTTCATTCTGCTGTGCATAAGGTTGCTATGAGTCAGTACCAACTTGATGGCACTTAACAACAACAACAGTTAAAAAATATATATGTGAAATAAATTTGAACCCTGGTGTAGCACTGTACTGTAAGCACTGGACTGCTAACAAGGCTAGCAGTTTAAACTCACCAGGTATTCTCAGAAACCCTGTACTAAGTCACTATGAGTTAGAACAGACTTGATGGAACACAGCAACAATAATCTACTTAACCCAATATGTCTGAAATATTATCATTCCAACATGCAATCAATATTAAAAAATTAATGAGCTATTTTACATGGTTTTTGGATTAAGCCTTTAAAATCTGAAAAACAATACTTACAGGATCCCTTGGACAAGCCACATTGCAAGTGTTCAATAGCCATGTGTGGCTAGAGGCTACCAAATAGCCATGTGTGGCTAGTGCAGCTTTTGATAATGGAAAAGATTTTCTTATTTTCCTATCTCGCCATGTAGCATCTAACCTTTACTGGTAGCCAGGAGGCCCTTATTTTGTATGTCTCCTTCTCTAACAAGTCTTCTGCCCGAATCTACCCAGCCTCTTACCATACAGACTTCACAGTCGTCTCAAATCTTCTTTCATGTCTCTGTTGAGTCCAGAGACCAGTGAAGTCTAGTTAGAGGTAGACCTAAGGCATGGCAGGTATAGCATGTGCCCTGGGAATCATTTGAAAGGGGTGCCACTGAGCAGTTTCTATCACCATTCAGAAAGTTAGTACTTACACTGTCCTGTTTGAGAGCCTCCATGGAGCAAGCCAGACTGTGTAATCTCACTCTGCTGGGTATAGAAAGAAGAGAAACTCAGGGGGAAAAAATCAAAGAAACTGAAAAAATCCAAAATCCAAGACTTTGAGCACATCATAGATCCATTTTCATCCATACAAGCAAGTAAAGTGCAGTTGCAATTTTCATGTAGTGCACTACTGTGTTAAGCAAAAGATTAACAAACTTGCATTTGTGAGCTGCTCTTATGGTAAGGAGCTCTGGTAGCGTAGTGGTTACGACTCGGGCTGCGAACCTTCAGGCCAGCAGTTTGAAACTGTCAGCCACTCCATGGGAGAAAGATGAGGCGTTCTGTTCCCGTAAAGATTTACAGCCTTGGAAACCCTGTACAGGGTCGCTATGGGTCAGAACCGACTCGACGGCACTTAACAACAACAACTTATGGTAAGGAGTCCTGATGTGGTGCTGGGGGTTAATGCACTAGACTGCAAAGTCAGTTTGAACTGCAAGATTGGTGGTCCAAGCTCTCCAGTCACTCCTTGGAAACCCTCTAGAGGGTCGCTGTGGGTCAGAACCAACTTGACAGCATTTAACAACAACGACTTATGGTAAAGTTATCTAAAAGAAGGGTGTTTGGGCAAGTGCATAATTTCAGTGCTTGTCGTAGGTGCTGTTTTTAACAGTTATGCCTTTGCTCTCAGTAGAGCTAGACAGGAGTGTTGTTGTTGTGGTTAGGTGGTGGAGGGTTGGTACCGACTCATTGCGACCCTATGCACAACAAAACGAAACACTGCCCGGTTATGTGCCAACCTCACAATTGTTGCTACATTTGAGCCCATTGTTGCCACCACTGTGCTAATCCATCTCATTGGGGGTCTTCCTTTTTTTCTCTGACCCTCAACTTTACCAAGCATGATCTACTTCTCCAGGGAATGGGCCCTCCTGATAATATGTCTGAGCTATGAGACATAAAGTTTGGCCATCCTGGTTCCAAGAAGCATTCTGGGTATACTTCTTCCAACACAAATTTGTTTGTTCTTTTGGCAGTCCATGGGACTTTTAAGACACTGTTAAAGCAAACATGCCTGTAAAACAAACTTATCTTTCTCTTGCTGATACTGATCCTATCCCATACCAAAGCTATTGTGTGTTATTTTGCTTATAGAGTTAAAAAAAAAAAAAATCTTTCTCATTTCTTTTCCTGTCTTGGTTGTGATGGGGCTAGGGTGGGGAGGCAGAGGAGGTAGAAATAAAGTGGGAAAGATAAAAAAAATCTTATCCTAACTACTGCTTCTGGCAGTTTGGATTTGCTATCAGCTGAGATGTGGATGGACCAGGTTTGCTGGGAAGACTAAGAGTTTAAGACTAAGAGTTTGGGATGCCAAGTAGATATTCAGATGGGAAAAGGAACTAGACAGGTAGTATATCTGAGGGGCCTTCACAAAGTTCATGGAAATATGGAATTAAAAAATAATGGAATTCTCCCAGTCTTTTTGGAGTTCCTTAGTATCTTTTACATGTTGTTGTTAAATGTTGTCGACTTGGTTCCAATTCATAATGACCCTGTATAGGGTTTCCAAGGAACTGCTGGAGGGTTTGAACCATCAACCTTGAGGTTAGCAATCCAGTGCTTATCCTACAACACCACACCAGGACTCTTTTATATGTTGTTGTTGTTAAGTGCCATCAAGTTGGTTCCAATTCATAGCAACTTTGTATAGGGTTTCCAAGAAGGGATTGGTGAGTTTGAACTGCCAACCTTATGGTTCAAACTAACCTTGAGGCCCAGTGTTTATCCTACAGTGCCACACCAGGACTCCTATTTTGTCCATAGAATCCATCAATATTGCAAGTCAAGCTTGCTTTTTTCTTCAGTTCCTTCATTCTGAAAAATGCTGCACTGTTTCTTCCATTTTGGTGTTCTAATGCCAGGTCTTTGCACATTTCATTACAATCCTTGACTTTGTCTTCTCCAGCTGCCCTCTGAAGTAACAGTGTGGAGCAGGATGGTAAGTGGTAGAGAGGGAGAGAGTAGCAGGAATTGAGAGATCTGAAGTATTACCAGCAGGACTCGATGACTTGTAGAGTGAGGTAGAGAGCGAGGTCAAGAATGACTCATGTTAGGGAACAGATGGTGCTATTTACTAACATGGGAAGCTGGAGAGGGGCTAGGCTTGTGGGGGAAGAGCCCTTAACTTGATCATTTAAATATGAGAGGCTTTCATGATGCCCAGGAAGCGATGCCAAGTAAATCATTGGATCTATGGGGTTAGACCTCAGGAAGATCAGAATTAGAGACACAGATTTGGTGGTAAATGGTCTAAGGAGACCATGTGGCCTTTAGCTACTACCCAAAAGGATGGCAGTTCTAATCCCCAAGTCACTCCTTGAGAGAAAAGTGTGGGAGTCTGTTCCCACCAAGATTATACCCTTGGGGACCCTATGGGGTAGTTCTCTGTCCTATAAGGTCACTCTGAGTCAGAATCGACACGACGGCAACAGTCTAAATGTTCTAGAGGTTGTCATCTCTGTTGTGAACATGTAAGGCATCTACCAGGGAAAGAATCTAGGTGGAAAAGATGAGGTCCTGGTACTGGGGCTGAGTATTGTCATCATTTAATGACCTGATAGAGGAAAAAGATGCTTCGAGGCATTAGAGAAAGAACAGTGGGCAAGTTGAATGAGATCAAAACAAGTCTACAATCCTAGAAACCCAGCGAAGAGAGTGAGTCAAAAAGTGGAAAATGCTAAGCTGTCAGATCTACTGCTGTTGTTGTTGAATGCTGTAGAGTCAGTTCTGACTCGTAGCAAATCTTTGTAGGGTTTACAGGATGTGGCTGGTGGGTTAGAACTACCAACCTTGTGGTTAGCAGCCCAGTGCTGATCCCACAGCGCCACCTCCAGGACTCCAGATCTACAGAGAGATTTAGAAAATGATTAAAGCAAATCTGTGGGATATAGATAGAGGGCGTGATTGATCTTAGCAAGAGTGGTTTTGGTGACTTGATGGGGTCAGATAGAATGGGCTGAGGAAGAGGAGGTCAAGAAATGAAGACAATGAGTATAGGCAATAACTTATTGGAAGTGTGGCCCAGGAGGGAGAGGAGTAAGGATGTTTTAAAACGGCATAAGCATTTTCAGTTCAACTGAGAAATACCCAGTTGAGAGGAGTTGGACATACACGTAGTCCTTGACTCCGAATGGGGTTCCACTCCAACAACTCCATCATAATTTGATTCTAATGCAAGTTAGTGCTTCATTTTTTAAAAGTTTTAATTACTATAGACTTTTATTTATAAATCATAATATTGAACATCTGTGACAAACATCAGCACAGTATACACTGCAACACTGTATGTAGTATGTTACTAATAATAAGATATACCCCTCCCTGTAAAACACCCTCAGGCAGGGGTAAGTGCATTTTGTTACTGCTCGCTTTTGTTGTAAATCAGGGACTACCTGTACTAGAAGACAAAGGGCTGCTTTCTGAGGTGGGAAGAAGTGACCTCCAAGGGGCGTGCCTTTTCCTCCATTGTGCAGAGGAAGGAAGAGGAGAGGCATGGCTGGCTGTGTGGATATATGGCAGAAGTTGAGGGGTCTCACTTGGGGAGGCCATGGCTTCAGAGGGGTAGAGAATTTGAAATTACGAGAATGGTTACGAATCGGGCTGCGAACCTTAAGGTCAGTGGTTCGAAACTACCAGCTGCTCCACGGGAGAAAGATGAGGCTTTCTACTCCCGTAAAGATTTA